AAATTCGTATTTTTTTTTCTTCTCTATATTTCTATAGATTTTGATGTGTTCTCCGTTTTGATGTTTTAATTTTTTCCTGTGGATCATCACGAATTGACGTGTTGATTCAATTTCACCCCATTTTTCCTGCGGATTTGAGTGTAGAGTGGAGATTGAGATAAAGACAGCTGGTCAGGAGCTAGTGCCGGTAGCTATTGTAGCGGGGATGGTCGGAGTGCTGCCGTTGACATTTTTGTTCCGAAATTTAGGTTCCACTCACGGATGAGGGATTTGTGAGGTACTATTTGAGAAAAAAAAGCCCGTGGGAAGTTTTTTAGGTTTCAAGCGGTTATTAGATGGATGTCTACAAATCTTGAGCTTTGAAATTTGTTGGTAACCACACCACGTCAACGACTTTTTTCTTTTTAACTTTTCTTAGGTTTAATTTTTATTTTTGTCTTGTGATTTTACTGCTTTTGTTGATAATTGTTATCTCTGAATGTACATCATTTCTTTGTAGATTATCCTTGATTTCAAAGGGTTTTACATAATTTTATTGAAAGTTTTTGTCGGTTTTGAACTTTGTTTCAATTTTCTTGCTTGTTTATCTATGTTTAAGTCTAATTTTTTTTTTTTTTTTTTGTCATGTGTTGGTTTGTGATTTCTACCGTGGAAATTTGGAAATTGGACCTCCATGAATAACTATGAATTGTGGATTGAAGTTAAAGAAATTTGTGTATTTTTTATTTCTTTGGCATTATGATTTAAAAAAAATAAAATGATGCAAAGTTGATATTTTGATTTTTTTGTTTTTGAATCATCATGTGTTTGGTTTGATATATACATCTTATTAATTAATGTCACCGTATCTATCTCTCTATAGTTTTCATATTATTATTATAAATATTATTGCATTAGGTTGGCAGAATGCATACATTACGTACGAGTTGGTCAATCTCTGACGGAGGCTAAGTGGTGGATAGACTACGATTAATTAATTAAGTCGTCTAACATAATATTTAAATATATATTGCCCAGAACTATTGTTGAAAATTGCTCTCATGTATGTATGTATATATTTATAAGTATAATATGTGTAGGTATGTCGAATTGTAGTATTTATTAGGAAGGCATAGCAGGTAAGCAAATAAGTGCAGTCGATTTGCCATTTGACAGCATGTTCATCAGATCGTTCAGTCCACTGAGAAAAATAAATAAAGGGGAGGGAAGTCTGGCTTCCAAGTCTTGCAATTCTTGCTAGCAATCCTCCATCTCCCTCTCTCTCTCTCAATTAGACAATCATCCGCACAATTTATATTTCCCTTATTTTTTTTATCGCCTCGCCCATGTTCGGTGATCCGATTACGTGTTTTTTTTTTTTGTTATTTTTTCTTCCTATTTTTCACATCTTTACAATGGTTTTGTTAGGAAAACATATGTGATTTTGTTCTTTTCTCATCTGATTTGAGTCGATACAAGATAATTTATACTGTAATTTGAAGTTTTTGTGCTTTTGAATTTGGGTTATTGAATCTCGATTGTGTTGCTGCAACTGTAATATTGACGGTGCTAAGTCTTTTAAAAAGTACTTTGTATTTGTTAAAACAAATAGTTGTAAAATTGTTGTTGACATTGGGAAAAAATACTTTATATTTGTTCAAACAAGTAGTTGTAAAATTGTTGTTGGCTTTAGGACGAATTATTCACCTATCATTCATTTTTTTTAGTTCCAAAAATTAATGTCTCAAAAGAGTGACGATGATTCTGACTAATATTCTCCATCTCTATTTTATTTTCCAAAAATTTGGAGCGACAAAAGAGTTATGTTAGTCAATAACATACTATTAAATTTTAGTGAAGTTTCTCGATTACTTTTATTAGAAACTAAATACTTTAGTTTTTTTATAATGAGTGAATGAATAGTCAGTAAAAAATTGTATGGATAAATAAATGAATGAATAGAGTATTCAAATAAATAACACAAACTTCATATATATATATATAACGGATAGTCAAAACATCAAAATAAAACAAGCAAACCTCACATTGGAGATATTGTTTCAAAACACTAAGAAAATTGCAATAAAAACAATCATTATTCATAAAGTAAGAAAATTATTTGAAGAAAATCTTAAACATTAATTTCATCCGTATATTATAATTCAAATGGTAGAAAGAAAAACTGCAATGATAATTTTTATATTTTGAACATTAGCTATTATAACTCATAATATCAACATATATTAAAAATTGAAAAACAAATAATCCTTAGTATCATCATTGTTCATAAATTAAAATTCGATAATCGTCTGCAAAAATTCAGAAAAAAAAAAATGATTATTCAAAACTAAATAATTATATGGAATAGAAGTATCCATCTAATTATTTTTGTAATATTTTATAATTTGAAATTTAAAATTAAATAATTCTGTAACAGTAATAATTTCTTACGTGTCAATTTCATTAATTTATGAATAGTTTAAAGATAAGTTATAAGTTTGGAATATATAAAGATTCAAATTTATAAAAAAATCATCTTAACAATTATATATAATTCTTTCATATGTATTACCTCCTAATTATCTATGTAACTATATACACGTTGCATCCATAAAGAAAAATGAATAAAGACAAAAAAAAAATAATAAACATCAAATATAATTTTATTTAATAGCTCAAATTCAGTCTTTACTATGTGGAAACAACTTCAATTCTTCTGTTCAACTTGTCATTCAGTTTCCTCATTTTAGTTTTACTTTAGTTTAGTTTTTTCAGTTTTTTCTTGTCTTGAGTTTTTTTTTTTTTTTTTTTTTTTTATCAAAATAGCAAAAAATTCTCCCTGTGTTTCTTGAATTTGCTGAAAACCCTTCAAACTGTGGTTGCATTTCACGCGCTCAAACTGCAATTTTTTGGACATAAATTGATATACCAGTGCTTAAAATTACAAAAATATCATCAAATATTAATAAACTCATTCTATCTCTGCTTCACCATTTTCATCATTTTCTTCCTATTTTTTCTTATTTCTTCTTCGTTCGATTATTTTAATCTGTTATCTTAAAAACAATAAGGGGAAATGGAGCTCCGGCGGTTGTGTAATTGAGAGTCTTTTGGTAGCGCGTTTATTTAATTCTTTAATTTTGGGGAAAGAATTCAGTAATTTTTCCTAGACGAAGGTTTCTCCAGCGCCGAGGAATAGCAACATCACTGTGCAATACGACGTCACTTTAGTGGTGGCTCAGGCGAACATCTGCCGGCAAAAGAAGCTGAAACGACCGTCGTGAGGTCTTTTGTGGTTGTGGAGGATATTTAAAGATTTGGATCGAGATCCGTAGTTTGGTTTGTTTCTACTGTAACTTACATTAGATAAAAAATAGATTTGTTCTTGTACAGTAATTGCGAATTCCTTTCGCCCTTGACATGTTTCGCTTTCATCCTTAATTTCTGAAATAAATAGCAAAATTCATCTTTGTTATGGTGATTAATATATTAAATTTTACTATGTAAAGAAAACAACAACAACAACAACAACAACAATAATAATAATAATAATAATAATAAATAACAAAAAAAAAAACAACAAACTACCCATTGCTCTTGGAATTTCACGGGTCTTCTCAGATTTATTGGAATTCTATTTCCAACTTTAATTCACCTTTTTTTTCGATAAATTATTTTCTAAATCTCTACTGTTACAAATATATTTTTTTGTTTTTTATATTTAGCCTAAAAAGAGTAAATATACTAAAAAATTAGTTATTTTTCTCAGATTTTAAGAGTTTATTTTTACTATTTTTTAGGTTAAATATAAGAAAAATATATATTTGTAATTTTAGTGATTCATCAATTGAGATTCTAAAATTTATTCGAAGTTTGGGCGCATTTAGGTCAAATACCGTAAAATAAGGACCACCGAGGGAATTAGACGCAGAGTTTAAGAAACCACGAGAGAGTTTGATGCAGTTTTAGAAGTATGGAGGATTTGGCACAATTACGTGAAACTACGGATGGATTTTGTGCAATTTAGCCTAATTAATATTAAAAAATCAAACAAAGAAAGTAAATGAGACCCTTAGAGCCGGATTGATATAGTATTTTTGTTCTCAACTAATTTTACACACATATATATATATATATATATATAGTCTTGTGTTGTATTTCAATTAAATTTTCCACAATGGAATAGAATATTTCATTGTTGCCTATCTTAACTCCAATCCGACCTGAATGATATTACTATATTTATTATGTAAGTATGTATATATTGTATTTGTAAATAATAGTACTCTCTTCGTCCCACATATTATATCACATTTTTATTTTTGTTCGTCTCGAAACAAGATATTATTTTATAATTTAATAATTGTACTACATACTTAACATAATTAATATCCTTACAATTTCCAATATATTACTAAAATATCATTATTTTTATATCACAGAATCTAATAAAAATATTTTTGTCTTTTTTATTATAAACCAATATAATATTAATATTAAAAAACCTACGTGCATAAATCAAAATGGTGTTGATTTCATGGCACGGAGGTAGTATTTTATTTTTTAATTAAATGTTAAATAAATTTATCTTATATTTATTTTATTTAATTGTACGTAAAATCTTATAACTTTTTTCTTTTTAATATATAATATATTCTTTCGGTCTCAAATCAAATAAGTCTTTTGAGGTTTTATAGTATATTAAAAAATAATATTATTTTATTAATTAATAAAAATATGTAACAATTTTTTATATTTTTATCATTCGACTTTATGTATAAAGTAATTGTACGTATAATGGTATATTTGTAATTTAAGTAAAAATTAAAAGATATTTTGGTATTACTGTACCATCACCTTTTTCCTTTTTAGTAGGAAAAAAATATTTTAAAATGGGATAAAAAAAAATTGATAAAAAAAGTAAAAGGATAGAAAGGATTATAAGTTTAAATTCCAACGGCTTCAGGTCTACACTTATATCGATATACATAAATGAACATAACAATAATTATGATCTAACTTTAAAAAACGTAGGATATGTTTCTTTAGATGGATTTGAAAAAAATTTGATAAACATTGGATATGTTTCTTTAGATGAATTTGAAAAAAAATTGATTTGAGTTTAATATTAAAATAATGTATGTTATGAAAGAAAAAATTATATTTTTTTTCAAAAAAACGCATAGACCAAATAATAAAAATTTGAAATTTTGGCCAAAAGAAACATACCCTACGGCTCATTGCCATTTCCATTTCCATTCCCCCGAACAACAAATTTGCTAAACCTTCTCGAAATCGAACTTACAAATGACTTCCAATGCACAACACCAACTTCATTACACGACTTCTCCTTCTCCATCTCCTTCAACCTTCTCTTCATCTCCACAACCTCCATTCTCAGCTCCCGGTTTTCCAGTCGCAACGCCTCGTCCGTCGCAAGACGAGGACCGGGGGAACCAAGAACCTCATCATCCAACCATTCCCGAGAATGTCGTCGCTCATGACAAATCAATCGAACGATCGTTTCGACGGGAAGCCGGTCGTTGGTCTCCGCATGAGCTCGAGGTTCGGGCGAAAGCTTTTCGAAATCGACTGCATTGCACACCTTCTTCCTTTCCGTATCGCTCAATGCCGGGTGAGCCTGTAAGATCAAGAACACGTCGTAAAATTTATATCGAATAAAAACTCGACAAGAAAAAATCGAACAACCTTAAAGTAGGCGTCGATGGCTCCATAGATCCCGTCTTGTCTCCACCGGTGCTGGCGAGGGATAACCTCGGCGAGACTGACGAACTCTAAAACCGATAAATTGGGATCGGAAGCAACGTGGGTAAGGTAATTCTCCATTAGCCGGGTTGCTTGTTCGATCGCGCTTGGCGAAGGCGGAAAATGAAAGCCCTTTTCATTCGGTTTTACATAGAATTCCAAAAAATCGAGCATTATTCGCTTCGCTGTCTCGATATCGAACAATGTGTCATCGGTAATCGAATTCGCAGGAAATAGTAAGTCTTCGAGCGAAGCGTTGTCGAGCTGCGTTGCGATTCTTTTCTCCAAGTCGAGCCGGCAAGCGACGGTTGTTTCTACGAACATTGCAGCTCTAAGCAGCGTCGAAAGGAACGTGACAGGAACCGTGTTCCGATCCCTCGGAAGAAGGCTTACTATAGTTTCCAAAACAACCCTTTTCTCATGCGAGTATTTACGATCGTTCTCGTTGTTTTTAGCCTCGCCGGACACTTCCTGCAACGGTAAGAATCAGAGAAAATAGACGATTCATTCCATTTTTAATCGACAATACTCACCAAGTCTCGTAGAGATTCCCGAGCATAGAGCATTAGCACAAGAATGAGCGCGCGCTCGTTTAACCCCCTCGCGATCATCGCGACGACAATCCTCCGGAAGAAATCGATTCGTAAAACAATCAAACATTTGGCCCACGACTTTGCGCCGGATGAAGCCATGTCTTCCATGCCGACAAATTGGCTGACTTGGCATGCCAAGAACGCGACCGTGTCCACGCACCGGCTCACGAGATTTACCCTCTCCGCCATCGGAATAAACCTTTCAGAAGAATGCAAAACCGACACCGCCCCTGTTAGACTCTTCAAAACTTCGTCGTTTACAAATTCCTCAGTTCGAACAATCAAATTCCCCGGTCCGTATTCCTCCGTCATCTCGAGAAATTCAGCCACACATCTAACCATTGCAGCGTTATCTACGGCGATCGAAAAGCTTATCCCGTAGCAAAATTTGGCGGCAAATTCGAACCCGGCAGCCCCGCCGGGGACGTCGGGGATATCAAGAACAGAACAATCAACAACACCGGAGGATTGCGTGACTAGCTTCCTTATATATCCACATTTCGAAACTAAAGGAAACTGATCAAATTCGTGTACAGAGTCATCAATCAATCAACACTTGAAGTTATTAACTATGGATTGCTAGAAAACAAAATTTGAAAGATATGCCATGGAAGCAGTTATTTGAGTTCTACCTTGTGCAGAGCAAATGAAGTTCCCCCGACGTTGACGGTGATGTCGCTAGGGATTTCGAGAGAAAGAATCCTGACAGAAAACATCGAGAGGATATTCAATTTGAAAATTTCGTGAAATTAGGTATTTCGCAGAAAGCAATTTTGTGAAAAATTTAAAGGAAAAAGCAAACCATTCGCTAGTCCTCTTCATGGCGTCGGAGAGCAGTTCCTTTCTGCAGGACATTTCCAAAGCACTCCGATTCCGATCAGAGTCGATCTCTGCCATTTCAATAATTGGAGCTCACTCTCAGCTCATTAATGGACACTATAACGTGAATTGAGGAGGCGAAAGTACAATAATAAATATTCCTGTATCGAATTCCACTTTCATGGCCACGCTCTAGAAAACAACCGGTTCTGACCGCGTTCTTCTCTATCAAATCAAAGGACAGGTATGAACAGTTTGCAGATGACGACAACGACAGTTCCTCCATCCAACAAAATTAGGGCAAAAAATTCGAATCCAATGAAATCAAATATTACGTACCTTGGAAATTGTTTGGACATTAGATTAATCACGCTGGCTGTTCATCGTCGGAGAGGAGATGATTCAATTGGTGTTGGTGGAGATTCGATCGAAGAGAGCAATTTCCATTATTGGGAGGAACTGTGATTAATGGATTTGTTGTGACGCTCATAACTGTTTGCTTTGCTCCACGTACTAATTCAATTTGGGAATAAAATTTCAACTATAAATATGCAGTTGCTACATTAATTTTATTTCAATCATAATTTAATTTTTTACTATTATTCTTCAAATATTCGATTTTTTCTATTATTTTAAACCATTTCTTTTTAATTTAGAAAAATAAAAAATAATTTTAAAAATTTTTTAAAAAAATTATAAAAAAAAAAAAAGAAGCAACGCCAATTTTTTGGCGTTGCACAGCACACGATTTGGCATCGGTTGTCTCCATTGTTAAGGTGTGTATGTTTTGATGGGTTTTGAAAAATTTTAGTTTGAATTAAGTATGGTGTGTTTGTTTGGGATTAGATTTTAAATACACTATTTATTTCTTTTTTTTTCTAAAAAACTTCAAATTAAATACCTATTTTTTATTTTTTTATATTATACTATAAATTAATTTTACATTCAAAATATCACATCAATATCTATTTATATCACATCATACAACTATTCAAATTCAAAATTTTTACTATTCAAATCCCAACTCAAATCCAAACCTCCGAAACAAACACACCCTATATATAAAAATATTTTATAAAAAAAAAATATATACTTTTTTTTAAAAAATACATAGTTCAAATAATATAAAATTTAATTTGGAATGGACAGAAATACACCGTAACATTACTTTTTTTCTTTCCAAAAAGAAAATATAAATTTCATAAATTTTTCAATATTAATATTATATATATATATGATACAAATACATATAAAATAATAAAAATATTTGGCTTGCATAAATTAATAACGGACCTATTGTGGTGTTAACGAGGCCAATAAGGGTTTGTTTGTTTGGGGATTGGATTGGATTTACACCATTCATCCAATTTTTTTTTTCTAAAAAATATCAAATCAAATATCTATTTTTTATTTTTTATATTATACTAAAAATCAATTTTATATTCAAAATATCACATCAACACCTATTTATATCACATCATACAACTATTCAAATTCCAATAAAAAAATCCAAACCCCCAAACAAACACGAGTAAATAAGAGCTAGTGGTATTTTTTACTTAAAAAAAAATAAAAATAAATTTACATGACAATTAAAAAAAAAAATGCAAATAAATTTGAATTTGAGAGAAAATATATAGTTAGTGCATTAACATGTCAAATATGCTTATATAACATAAACTATGAAGATTACTATAATGGAGTATTAACAAGTTGCATTATAATATATATATATATTTTTTATAGTCGCTACCTGAAAGTAGGCATTAGATAAATCTCTGACTGGACCTAATACCCTGCAAATTAGGTCTTACAAACAAGTTACACTGGGCAAATCATATGTGGCAGGTGACCTGAAGGCATCGGAGCTTATAATACTCTGCATTATAATATATTTTACTAATATAAATTGTGTATGATCGGTCTATAATGTACCAATGTGTAATATGTGCTTAGGTTAATATTGATATATTATGTGAACTATTTATCTTTGAATTCAGCTTATATATTAAATTTATATTATATAATATAAATTATATACTCTCTCCATCCCAAACACTGCGCAATATTTGGAGGGAGAAATAATTATTTATTTTTTTTATTTGAGTAATGTGATATGATAAAGTGAAGTGTATATTAATATATGTATAAAAATATTATTAATTATTTTTAAATTTGAAAATGTTGCAGTGAGTTTGGGACAAATAAAAAAAAATATTGTAGAATGTTTGAGACGAAGAGAGTATTATTTAAATATTATCTGATAATATTTAAAACTTACCTCAATGCTACTAACGACAAAGCCATCAATCTTTTACATATAGATTTTATTATTAAAATTTTAAATTGAAATAATATGATATAAATAAATGTTTAAGTTAATATTTTAAATTATTATTTTTAATAATTAAATGTATATATATGGTTTTATATGGTTTTATGAAAAACAAACAAACAAATTAATAGGGTAAGACCAAAATCAAACGTTAATAAGATAAAGCATCATATTTTCAGCTTTTTAACTTAATGATAAAATGTACTCTATTCGCTATGCAAACGTGTGCTTATTTGATCGAACACGAGTTTTTAATAAAAATGAATAATAATGATTATTTTTTTCTTTTATAGTAAAAAATAAAAAAATATATTATTTTTTTACTTAAAAAAAACGAGAATATTTTTTAATAATAAAAAAAAAACAAAAAAAAACATATATTTGAATGATGAAAGGTAATATTTATAAAAAAAAATAAGTAATAATTGGAGTTTGATAGAGACTATTCTCAATATCGCATATCATATGGATTAGATTTTATTTTATTTCAGTGGACTACCTAACACTGAATGAATTAATTACCAGGGAACACAATTAATGGATGTTCAAGTCTTGTCACATTTGGGGCATGTTTTTGTTTTTGTTTTTGTTTTTGTTTTTTTTTTTTTTTTCCTTTTTCAAATATATGCATATATCTTTAATAAGAGTGTATGTACAAAATAATAAATAAGACCTTTTGATAATTCTTTCTTTTTTTTTTTGGCATGAAATGTAATTATAAATAGTACTACTTCTGTGTCCTGCTCTTCGGGTCTCATTTATTTTTTCGTATTTATTTTTGAATATTAATTATTATATGAAAACATAGTAAAATTAAAAAAAAAATGACAAAAATACTTCTATCGGTGTCTTATAATACTATTAGAATGATATTTGTGAAAAATTACAAACATATAAGGATATTTTTAATGTTAACTACAATGACACAAAAAGATAAATGAGACCCCTAGAGCCGGAGGGGGAGAGTAGTATTTTTTCGGTGAATTTAATTCAGACCAAATCGCATTTTTCTATTTTGACCAATATTTTTTTTTTCCGACGTTCATAAACTGATCTAAGTTCAAAATTTTCGTCATTTTTCATTAGATTAAATGCTACATTATATACAAAGATATTATCTATAATTTTATATAAATATTTTTAGATGAAAATAATTATTTGATTAAATATTTTATATGAATCACTACTAGGAAAATTGTTGATAATTGCGGAAATTTGTTGCAAATTTTAATCCGTGACAATTAAAAGTCACGTAAAATAATTTCGTGACAAATTTATGTTACAACTTTTTTGCTTTGACTATTCCGTAAGTAATATTTGCAGAAAAAACTACAAACAAGTTTCCGTGACTATTTAAAATAACGGTTTATGTAACGAAAATGTCCAAGATATTTCTATTCCGTGTCTTTTGACTATTTCGTCATAAAAGTTGACACTAAATTGTTTCTTAACTATTTCAAGTTGCGAAAAAAATAACCAAAATATTTGCAACATTTTAAATTATTACAGATATTGTCGTAGTATAATTTTCGTGATTTAGAATCAAATGTCACAACATAAGTAACGAAAACAACTATAAATTTTTCTTATTATCGTTCGTAAATATTCAAAATAATAACAAAATAATAAAATCATCTTCAATATCTTTATTCAATATCGTTCGTAGCTATTCAATTTTTTGTTAAAAATTCATGATGATATATTAAATAAATATGTATTTATTGTTAAAAGATAAATTTATAATCAATAATATTTATATAGTTAAAATATAATAACAAACAAAAATTAATACTTAGATAGCTAAATTGGCATGACACGTCATGTAAGTATTTAATAACTATACAAGGTCACTAGTTCGAAACCCTTCGACTTGCAGATTAAATTAAAAAATAACTATAAGGTCCTTGGTTCAAAAATATTGTAGTACGAAGTAATTCCAAAAAAAAATAATCGTGTATGGTTGCATTGAACAAAAATTATAATATAATTATATTTTTTAAAAAAAATATAAAGTCACGGAATTGTTACAACTTTCGTTAATATAAAGTCACAGAGGTGTAATAGTATTATTTTGTAACTTATTGTCACGAAAATGTCACTATTATAAAATATTTACGAAATTTTGTTGCAGCTTCTGTTGCTATATAAAGTCACGGATATGTTATGATATTATTCTATAACTTATAGTCACAGAAATGTCACCACTTAAGAAAAAGTCACCAGCAAAATTCTACGGAAATGGTTCCATATATTTTTTCGTGACTTTTGTAAAAAGTCACCAATTTGTATTAAAATCGTGATTGTTTTTTTTACCGCACTATAGCCTAATTTTCTGGTGTAATGATGAATGAATTTTTTAAAATTATTACAATTAAATAACAAATTTTATTTCAAATAGAATGAATTTTAAAGGAGAAAATATATAAACTATATCTATATATAAAAGATATCGATAAGTCCCGCGATTCCAAAACTTTTATTTTATTATTATTTTTATTTTTTATTAATTTTAAAATTAATCTTTTAAATTTGTATTTAATGGTGATATAATAGTAATTAATGAAATTGAAAATGAGTTGTAATATTTTCAATTTTCATTCTTTTTAATAATTTAAAAATTAATTTAACATTTTTTTAATTATTTAATTTCATAATTAATAGTAAGTATATTAGCAATTAATAAAATTTAAAATAGGTTCTTATATTTTCTAATTTTTTTTAAAAAAATATTAATAATTTTAAAATTTATACCGTACATAGACCTTTGATGCATATGGGTTAAAAAAAAAAATCAATGTATAAATTCTAGTCCTATTCTCATTCTGCTATTCTTTTTAATAGCGGGTTTTTTCGAATTAGATCCGAATAATTCTCAACGAGTCCATAAGAAGTTATCCTATTTTTTTAACCGAGTCCGAAGAGAGACCAAAGATCTTGAGCGACCGAACCGGCAGAACAACTCAAAAGATAAAGAAATATCGTTAATTTTTTCATATTCGTTTCAAGTTCGAAGTACCATTCGTAGAAATAAGAATCTCCTTCGTAAATTGAGATACTGATGCAAGTTTTCCGTTCTGAATCAGATAGATTCATATGTGAAAGAGGTTGACAATAAGTTCTTTTAAAATTGACTATTTATCTCTTTCTCATATGATCAAGA